ATATAGTCCTCCGAAGCTTAAAGACGAACATTCTCGGATGGTTAATCAGTGAATTAATTAATGATATCTCGGGAAACGTCGGCCCTCGACCCACCACACCCACGGCTCCTCTTTAAAACCCTCTAGCTCTCCTCATTATTTGTTTGTTTTCGTCGGATTAATGAAATCTTGGTCCTTGAGCGTATATTTCTTAAGTAAATCGTTCCTAATTAACCCTCCCGATGATACTTCATTCCTCATCCCTTTCGCTCCGCGCCCTCTCGAGAGTGCCCCGTCTCCCTATGGTCGTTCGTTCTCTCCCTCGGGTCAGAGTTTACCCTAGCAAAAAACCCTATGAAAGCTTCAATGGACGAAAAGTGTAAACCGATAGGATCTCTCCCCTTTCCGCCTGCGCCCCGCCTTCTCTCACCCCCTCTCTCTCTAGTTCCCGTCGAAGCAACCAGCAGATTCGAAGCGAAGTGTTTGCTCTTTTTCCATTTTGGTATTTTCGTTGAAGCAACAGTGAGCCCCATTCGGCATCAACGGGGCTCGGTTTCACCCGCGAACAGTGTCGTTATGTTCGTTACGTTAGCCTATCGTCGTGTGCAATAACGTCTCCCTAACCGACGCTCAGATTCTGCACAAAAATGGACAATATAGGCAGAAGGAGATACGATTATTCGACCCTTGACATAACATTGACACAACCTCGACAATTCGTAACTATAAAAAAGAGCCGCAAGGCTCGAAATAATCGTACCTCCTCTCCCCGAATTGTCCATTTTTCTGGACAATCCGAGCGTCGATTGGAGAGACATTACTGTGCACCGAGAAAGATGACTACTCCCCGGCCCTCGAACGAAACGAGCTGGCGCATATCAAAAGACTGTACGCGTGTGTATGTATACATGTTCGCGCGCGCGTGTATGTGTGTGTGAGTGTGTCGTTGCGTTATTTCGGACTCCTTGGACACCGGGTAGCTTTCCCGGGGACTCGGACGAGGGTCCCGATCTGTACGCGGCGGGCCGCGAGGGTGAGTCCCGTTCTCTGGGGCGCTGCAACGGAGTTGTTCGACGCTACCCTAAACGCCTGCCGAACTCGCAAACCGTTCCGAATGGGTTCAACGTTCCCAGGTTACAATGCCGAGTCGTGTTCCCGCGGTCCTCGTTAGCCGAGGCGTCGGGAGGATCGTCGAACGGCGTCCGCGCGCGTCGTCGCGGACGCCTGGATTTCTACCGCTGCTCAGCCGTGGCTAGAGGCCGAAGGCTCTCGACCGACGCCGCGTAAGGTAGCGTGAAAAAATTGTGAAAGCACGGTTCCACAGTCCACAGTGTTAGAAAAAGGTAGCCTAGATCTTGGAGACGTATAGGGGCCGGTGGATCTGCTGCGGGTTCCCGTTCTGCTTCGAGTAGCGAGGGTTCTGCAGCAGCTCCCTGGTCTCGCTGGGTGAGCCCGGACTCAGGCTGTTGGTGGTGGAGGTCTCGACGCGGTCGCTGATGATCTCCTCCTCCGTGATCTGCTCGAGATAGAGGGCCGACTGGGCGGTCTGGTGATCCCCGTTCACGATGGGCGGCGGCGAGTAAGCCGGCGGAGGACTTCTCGGCGGTGAGCCGGAGTCCTTCTCGTTCTCGGTCTCTATGGACGCGCTGGATGCGATCTGCTGCAGCTGTCTGGCTCTCTTGCCCTGCTTGGTGGTCAAGCCCCCGGTCTCCGCGTCCCTCTCCAGCCTGTGACCCGACTTGGACCTGGTCAGCTGACGCTGCACGTACTCGACCAGCTCGTTCTCCTCCTTCTTGGCGATCACGCGGTTCAGGATGATCAGGAATATGCCGATGAACACGGCGAACAGCCCGATCACCACCAGCTCGTTCAGCCAGCCCTTCGAGGACTTGGTGCCCCACTGCGTCATGTCGCCCGGCAACGAGCCGCTCATCAGGAAGAACGCGCCCAGCACCAGGAACACCACACCGATGTGCAGCATCCCGATCGACGTGACCACCTTCGTGTCCAGCATCCCCTGGCCAGCTGCATGGCTAGAGTGGCCGGACTTATGGTGTCTCGAGTGATGGTCCAGGGAACCGGTGGACGCTCTCGGCGACGTCAACCCACTGTCACCCGATTGCGCGCTATAACGACGCTCACGGGCACGACGCTGCTCGTCCCGGCGCTTTCTCTGACGCTTGATGGCCAGCGCAGAGTGCAATCCAACCGCGTGCATCCTGCAACACCGGAAAGACAACCCTTGCTCAGTGAAACGCCCTCTACTACTCTCTCGCTCTCGCTCTCGCTCTCTATTTTTCTACGAGCACTACCGACTCTTTCACGACATTTTTTCTGTTTTTTTTTGTTTTGCTTTTTTCATTGACTCTTCAACACTAGAACTACCAGACGGATTGGATCGGGAATTCTTTGAACGATTTACGCTGACTCGTCTCTATCGTCTCTACGCTTCTTTTTTGTTGTTTGTTTTTTTGAAAGCGCAGTCGCTTGGTGCTTCTAGTGTCAACGAACGAGTTTCAAGTTCAACGATCGACTTTTTGGCAGAGTTCTAATGAGATTGTTCTACATGCATAGCACGATTCTCCTCGAGTCTACCGGCAAAGCGAGATAATCTGATTTTTGTCGTTCGAGTTCAATAATGCTCGTCTCCGTCGTGCGGAGTATCTCTCTCTCTCTCTCTCTCTCTCTCTCTCTCTCTTTCTCTCGAAATTCGAGAACATTGGAATTCTAAAAGCTGTACAAGGTTCGCCGACAGGGTTCACAGGATGCACTGCGATAGAATCACGCGTTAATTGGCTACACACTAATGGATTACCAACGGTCCCCGCGTCGCTGTCCCGTCCCTGGACCTGTGAACATTTCTTCGTGCACGCCGGGGCGGCCGCTCGGCTACCGAGCTGCTCTCGATTGGCTGACTACGGTGGTGGGGGGAGCGGTGGGCGTGGCCGGGAGTCTAAGAGAAAGCGATCGGCGATGATCCGATCGGTTCGAACGGTTCCCGGGGTGTCGCTTTCGGTGCCGCGTTTCCTCGAGATTACGAACGCTCGACACGAACCGTTCCGATCCTAGGACTCGCGTTGCATGCAAACTTCTCGGAATCGTTCTCGAACGAGACGCCGGCGACGTTTTTCGTGCGGTCGCGTTACTGGGATCGGCAACGCAGGGTTCTCTAATTCGGAATAGATGTTTTCTAAAGAATGTGCATCGGTGTGTAGCCCTTTTTTTCGTTCACGTTCCCGTACCCTTTCTTCTCGCATGCAAAATGATATCCTTAAAAGCAAGCTAATTGGTTCTACGTTCGACTAAATGTTAACTCGTACCTGAACGTTGAGCTGAAATAACAGAAACCTGCGAGAACGTCCGCGAGTCACTTGCGCCGTGTTCGCGACAATTTTAACCCCTTTGCGACATCGAACTCTTTAAACTCTGCGTCTTTCGATAATACGGTTGCTTTCGATTCGCGTTGCTCTAATTTATCCGGTTAAATTATGCTCTATTGTGCGGAATCGCGCGTTTCTTTCGGCCGAACCGTACTTTTATCAAATTATTTTCGTGTTTTCCGTTTCGAATCCGTTCCACGAACCGTTGAAGCCGAGAGTGTAATCCTTTTTTCATCGCATTTCGATGAATCCGCTCCGATTCGAGTGAATTATCTGGCAGTGCGCGCATGCGAGATATTTGGTGGTCATGCTGCAAATACTTTGTCCCGTCCGCCTATGCGAATATATTCGAGAATATTCTCCCCCCGTGTACGTGCAAACGTTCCATGCTATTTCGAATCTCGGGAGGAAATTCTACGTGTTATTATACTTATTAGAGCTTATTATGTACGTCGAAAAGTCCGATTCGGACGGGCGAATTTCTTACCGCGATTTTTATCCGGGCACGCGCTCAACTTTCAACCCTCTAACAGGCACTGGAAATTGAGCTTCCCGGCCATTTTTAGGGCGCATGTGGACGCCAGCCGCAAATATTTTCATCGTTGAAATGTTATGTCGTCTATACATTGCTTCCACCACCCCTAATTTCGAGGGGTGAAAAATTAAGAACAACAGGAGAACGAAAAGACAACGGAATAACAACTGTACGATAAAATTGTATAAAATAAATTGTGTATAAAATCGTATAAAATTGCATAAAATTATATAAAATAAATGCTACGTAAAATTACATAAAATTGTACAATGTAAATTGTGCATAAATTCTGTATAAAATTGTATAAAATTGTATAAAATAAATTCTACATAAAATAGCATAAAATTACGTAAAATTGTATGATAAAATTATGGTAATTGAATATTCCAAATCATCGATAGCTCGTAAAACTCACTGTGCCCATGAAAGGGTTGAAACGTTCGCCGACTTAAGTTGAGAATTCGCGATTCTTCGCCAGCCTCTAAATTGAAAAATATCGAGGAGAAACGTCGGAAGCGATGATTCACGATTAATCTACGTCCGTCCTGCTCTCGGTCGGTAAAACAGCCGGCTCTTTACCCCGGCCCCGGTCGAGTGGGCGTGTTTGCGATGCCTTTTGTCCGCGGAAACTACCGAAACTGCTTTCCTTAGGGTAAGAAAGTGGCCCATCGCCTGAAGAACCCTAAGAGTAGTGGCTTTTGTTGGCCGATCCAGCTTTCTGGCAGATTGTTTGCCTACTAGAGATGCTTTCAGACGGACCAGACGGCGGGGGGTTGTCCTAGATCGCGGCCCTCCGCGACGTCGGAAACATCGTATACGTCGACCCTGTCGGACGCTCTCTTCCCAGTTTCCATCGATCCCCGAAATTGACAAATCCTGTTCCTACGACTATGCCGCGACGTCGACAACGCTTTGGTAGCATCGCTGCTACCGATGCCCACGCACAAAGGGGTGAGAAAAGATCGCCGGCTCGAGGCGCCCTGTTATAATACGCCGCCCGGAACCGCCGCGGCAGAGTAAAAAGCACTTTGAATATATCGATCTCGTGACGTCACGTTGAATTATATATAATAACGTTAAGGCTGCTTTCAAGATCGCGGGCCGCGCGTTTAAAAAGCAATTTGCGGGACGGTTTCCGCGGCTAACTTCCGGCGAAATCGTTGGCGACGCTGAAAAATTCCGGACGAATTCTCGGAAATTGTCCCGCGACTCGCGAACGAATAAATGGACGATCCCCGGGAGGGGTAGGAGGGGGCATGGGATTTTTTGAGACTCGCGGCTCTCGTTTTCGCGGGTCGCGAGAGATTTTCTTTCGAGATTTCGGTTCGAACGACGACGAAATCGGCGGAGACCGGTTCTTGCGTCGATTTCGAAGTCTCACGGCCGACCTTTCCAAGGAAGCAATAACTCCTCGATGCATTTTTACATCGGCGAACACAGCGGTTGCTTCCCCGTGAAAGGGATTCCACTTTACGAGGCGAGAAGTATGTGGCCTCATTCTCCGCGGGAAATCCCCTGGTATTGCCACTCTTTTAATGGCGGCTCTACGATGCTTCTCTCTCCCTCTCTCTCTCTCTCTCTCTCTCTCTCTCTCTCTCTCGCACACTCTCCAAGGCTTTCTAGCGGGGGATCTGTACTTTTCCGCGGGATTCTTGCGACTTATTGCGACACACGCCGAGGAAACAGCTAAATTCCGGAGTCGTCGATGAGAAAGAACGATAATTCCGCCCTCGATTTTTATGCGTTGTAACGCGTCCACGGGGTTGGTGACGCTGCCCGCGGCTCTGGCGCGGTACATTTGACTTCCGAAACCGCAACGGTGCAATCCTCTTTCGTTTTCAATCGATTTTCTTGCTCCTACCGGAACGGCGACTGATATCGAAACGATGGAATCGCGCAATTTTGTGGAAACAGCTTGCTGTCGCAGTGTTGAATAATAATCTACCCGTGCAAAAAATTCTCTATTGCAAAAACAGAGATAAAAAGGAACGTAAATGAACGCAATAGCACGGTTAATAACGCGAAAGAAAATTATTACCAGAGGATTTTATGCATTTATCGCAAAAATTAGCTGATCGAAACAATTTAATGACTTTCGAACGACTGTTCCCGGCTTGCTAAATTTATTAAAAGAAGGTACACGCGTATATTTAACCCCCGTCCCTTGTTATTATTAATAAAGACTATTTTTATCCTGCATAAAAATCCGCGATCCAGTTTTCGCGTTGCGTACGGCAACGCCGTGTTCTACGCAGGGTGCGAGAGATGCGACGACGAAAGAAACGAGACAGCCTAAAATGTCAAACGGAAGCGTGACTAACGACGCGTCGGAGCCGCGTAATTTTTTCGAAAAACAGCTCGGTATTCTTCGCCGGCTGCTCAAATGTGTAACGAGGTTTATGCGCGCGAGATGTAGGTCGAGCGCTGATACGAAAGGGTAAACTCTCGTCGCGAGGCTAGACGAGGCACTAGCAGATAAGATTTTTATCGTCCGCCCGGTATATTTGTCTTCTTCGATCGATGACACTAGAGATCCTTATCTCCGAAAGGTTCTTCAGCGCAGATCCGCCGGCCTCTCTCTGGTTTTAACCGGTCATTCTTTCGGCCATAAACACTCCCGGAAAGCTGAACTTCCATTGGCGTGGAGACCGAATTTCAATGAATCGAGGTAAGAGCATTGGATGTTTCGCGCAGGGAAATTCGCCGATCTCTCTCTCTCTTTCTCTCTCTCTCTCTCTCTCTCTCTCTCTCTCTCTCTCTCTCTCTCTCTCTCTCTCTCTCTTTCTCGGAGGAAAGAACGAGGCCAGTGGAGTTACGGCGGCGAGAACAATTAGCTGATTGGTTAGAGGGAAGGTTCCGAAGGAGGGAAAAGATCAATTGAACGGAGACGAGAAGGTATATGTGAAAGAAAGAAAAAAGGAGAACCCGGAAATAGGGTGACACTGTGCTCGACGAAGTTACAGCGTAGACGGATAAAAATTGGCCGACTTCGACCAACGATTACTCCGCGAAAGATCGTCGTGGGACGGTGGCTGTTCTTTTGAATTGAAGCTTGAAATCTCTGCTTTCGGATAATCTTTCTGGATTTTAAGTTTGATGCAGCCGTGCCGCTGTAACCCTTTAAATGCGAGGCCATGTTTATCATATTAAACACTATCATGTTTGACGAAACGCACGGACTTTGTAAAATTTTTCTCGAAGATGCCGTTTGCAGAGAAATAAAGTTCGATCCTTCTTCTTCAATCCACAAAAAAAGAAACCGGACTGCGATTTTTTTTCGCTAAGTTACAACACTTTGAATCGG